CATCGCAAAGCCCAACGTTTTCGTCGAGGGATACGCGTGCCGTGGAGAAATCCCCGGGATTTCTCCCTCGTGTGAATACTAGTTTTGCAAAACTATCGATAGTAATATCGATAGTATCGATAGTCGCCAGAAATCTGACTATTGATAGTACTATCGATATTTGACTATAGAAAAACTATCGATAGTGCTATCGATAAACGACTATCGAAAAGCTATGGATAGTACTATCGTCGACTATCGGAAAATGATCGTTAATCGACTATCGTAAACCTATCGATAGTACTGTCGACGGTTAACTATCTATAGTTTTGCGACACTAGTAGTTTGCGTCGCTCCCTCTTATCGTTTTCTCGCTTTATTTTTCTCAAATGGGACACAAACTACTAGCCCAAGCACTTACCATCCCAACTTTGGTTCAGCTTTCAGTAATGACGACGACGGGAGTTTGGGCGAAGAAAGGAGGAAGGGAGGCGAGTGGCGGTGCGACGACTGTGTTCTCTCTAGTAAAGCAAAACTATCGATAGTGCTATCGATAGTATTGATAGTCACCAGAAATCTGACTATCGATAGTCGACTATCGAAAAACTATCGAAAAACTATTGAAAAACTATCGTTAGTACTATCGATAGTCGACTATCGAAAAGCTATCGATAGTACGATCGATAGTCGACTATCGATAGTTCTGCGACACTATCCATAGTTCTGGGAAAACTATCGATAGTATCGACACTCAGTTTGTCGATAGTTTTGCTTTACTAGTTTGTGCACGCCCCATTTATGGCAACCGCGTTAGCGTCAATTTGGCCATATTTCTCGCTTTATAACTTAAAAGCTACACAAATATTGCATTATGTTTCTGCAGATTCTGTTAGTACATGTTATAGATGTTAATTTTGGAGAGTTTAAAGAAAATTAAAGGTGGGCCTTTTTTTCTAAATGATTTTCAAATGAATGCATTTTAGTTAAATGCCCCTGTGTGAGCAATTCTCGTGGAATTCGCACGCTAACCAGGACAACAATATTTCGTGCAAAGATATACATACAGGGCAACACACTGGCAAAGTTTGAAGACCTTAGCTTTTATAGATACGAAGAAAAAAACATCTTTAATCCAGAGCGTTATTGCGCAACTTGCCGTGTTTGCGATATTATTTCTCAAGATAACCACCTGAATGCTCGTTGATTAATACTTTTTGTCAATCCTTCTTATGCCTAATTTGTCAGTAAATATTTCTAAACCCGCAGCCAGAACAATGTTTTGGGGGAAGCCGCCCGAAATGTCAACATCGCGCGATACGCAAAACGCGCACGTTACTGAGAGGGCGCTTACAAATTTTTTTCGCAGACATTTTTTTCCCCCGAAAACAAGGATTGGTTTTATTCTACTGGGCATGTAGCCAGCAAAATTTTTTTTTCATCGAAATTGAAAATGGTCACCGGGCATGTTTCTTCGATCTTATCTGAAAACGCCCGGTAGTTTCATAAGCAGTCGCCGGTGGGGAACGATATTACTATTTATTTTATTATTTACAAATACTGCTGATCCCTATCAGGGATCGTAGCAGGGTGGAAAGTAACATAAAACAAAGCGATAAAGCACCAAAGAGTTACTCCTTCAGAACACAAAGCGGAAACAAATGCACTAACAGAGTCTTGGTTAATAATTTCGTAAGGAAGCCCATTCCATTCTAGAATCGTTCGAGGAAAAAAGAATTCGAAACTGCTGATGCGCGGTTGGTAAGGTGTAATGGTAAGTGAGGTTCTTCCTCGGGTGGCGTAACTAGTCGAGAAAATGATGTATTCGTCAACGTTAATTTTATATTGTCCCTTAATTAATTGAAATAAAAAACGGTTTCGTTCTTGAACCGCGACAAACCCAAGCTGTTTGCTAAGCTCGGAAATGGACGCCTTCTTATAGGCGTTATCGAATGCCTTAGAGAAGTTCATAAATATGACGACTGTTTGTACCGATGATTGACAATTAAAATAAATATCTGTAACAAACTCAAATAATTGGCTGTTGCATGAATAATTTTCCTAAAACTGTGCGGGTTGGGGAAAGAAAGTTGCATTAATCTATGTTTGAGATAATTTTAGTGTAAAGAACATGTTCTATTAGCCTAGTGAGCGAAATAGGCCTGTAGTTAGATGAATTTCTTTTATTGCCTGATTTGTAGATGGGTTTAACTTGTGCGAAGCGCCAATCAGCAGGTACGTCACCAGAACTCAGACTTTGCCGCAAAAGAACGGCGAGTATATTTGATGCTGAGAGCTTTGACAGTTCTAGAAACTTAAAGGGGCACTGACACCCCAAAGGTCGTATTTATTTTTATTGTCTAAAACGATGCAAGTTGCAGTCATACCCACGCAAAAAAAACCGCATCGCGAAAAAAAAATTTCCCGCGCGCGCGCGCGCCTTTTTATTTTTGGCGTTTGATTTTCCCGCCTCTCGCCTCGTCGCTTACTTTTGATCGGTGACGTCAAGAATCATGAAATTTAGAAGCTTTGTAGACGACATCTCTATAACATTTAATTACGGCAATCCTAAAACATGTTTTTTAACGCAATTGCGAACGCAGTACGGCCCTTCTTTTTGAAATACCAAAAATCGGGAGTTCGTTGTGGTGCCGTCTCCTGGATTTGTATCCTCCAACGGGAGTGTCTACATCCACGCGCGGGGATGTAGCCACGTCGGGAGGAGATAAGGCTCCATCCACGCAATACGTCACTTCCGGCGCACTACGATCAACTTCCGGTCTAGCCTCCCATTGCGCCCATTGTTTTTCCATTTGCTTGGCGGCCGTTGCACCTTGCGTTCCTGCCGTGCGCGGACTACTGTCTACTGTGCCTGCCTGGTCTTCCGCAAGCGGTTTTGACTTTCTCTGAAGCGTTTTTATTTTATTTCTGTTTTCTCGGACAAGGAGCTTGGCCGTTTGAGTATTAGCACGGTCGCGCTTCCTGCCTCAAGTTTTGGTTGCCGGGGGTTCGACGGTGAAATACTTGTCCTAGTATTTCCCATCGAATAATCGGGAGGCTGTCGAAGTGCGGGCGTTTAGTGGCATTAGGATCGAGGCTTTGTTTTCCAAGGTGTCTGACGCCCTGCTCGATTTTGGTACAAACAACACCAGCGTTTGTGCCAGCGCGTACGTTGACAAGTATTGTTGGCTGGCCGCTCAGATTTTGGGACGCAATCGACGATGCAGATCGCCTTTTCTTCCGTCCTTCCTAGGCGGGGGAACAGGTTCTCTTCGATGGAGTGTCAGCGTAGTCAGAGTGCCGATATCCAGGCGTTGAATGATCGGCACAGAGACGTGAACTGGCTCCTGCAGGAGTTCTGCCGCAAGCAGGGCTTCGTGTTCATCGGTGATCTCGTGGACGAGTGGCATCTGCGCATCGGCTACTGTCTTATTTGTCATGGAATAAACCGTTTCTGGAATCTTTTACCCAGTTTTCTCGATTGAATGCTCTCAGTATGTTTGTTATTCATGGGACTAGTGCATGTTTTCCCTTTTCTCACAATCTTTGTGTGATTGCAAGCGTGCGCGCAAATCAAGAACGTACGAAGCGGTGGGCACGTACTTGTCCCCTTCGGTACACATAAGCTCACATTAAAAGGCTTCGAACCAAGCCAACCACACACACCACGAAGCCTCTCCGCCTCGCCTCAGCAGCGATGCGCACATGGGCGAAGGCCCCGGAGGCCGCACCCGCACCCGCACCGCCCGCACGCACGGATGGCACGCACGCCGCCCACACGTGTGTGTGACTCCTGGACAACATAAATATAAAGATATATATTGAACATGATTGTAAACCTGAGACTGGGGCAGAAAAGAGGACACACCAGAAGGTAGAAAAAGACGAGGCAACGTCTCAATTGGTACTATTTTCATAATGCATCATATTTGCTATTAGTCTTAGAAAACAGTAAACCATTAATGAATTGTCTAAACATTTATAAGGTCACGTGACATATTAACCTTAAAACAACAATGAAATATAACCACTTTATTTTTATATCCTATATTTACTTATAAGAAGGTATAATATGTACACAAAAGCAAATTATCTCTTTATATTATAAGTCACGTGACCTTTTGCGTGGATGGGGCCTTATCTCCTCCCGACTTGGCTACGTCCCCGCGCGTGGATGTAGCCTCGGCCATCCTCCAACGGAAAACAGGCGACACCGCTCAAAACCGGTCCGCCGGAACGCCGCCGCTCGCTCCTTTCCTCCTCGCTTTGGGTCGCCATGGCAACAGCAGGGAGTGGTGAAAGAAAGGGGACTCTCAGGTCTCCGCAATTTTTGACGTCAAGGCACCGGCGCCGATCGCGCGGGAACTTCGAATTCGGCATTTGGAAATTGTTTTTTTACTTCACGAATACTGAATTCCCAAATTTCAAATTTTGAGGGTAATGTCCCGGCATCGTTTTCAATCGTTTCGGATAATAAAAGAAAATATGATTTTGATGTGTCAGTGCCCCTTTAATAGATATACCGTCAATTTCAGGGGTGCTATTTGAGGAATTGCTCTAGTATCGAAAGCATTTCGGACATTTCTGTAAGACGCAAAACTTGATAGTACTTATTTGGGTTTCAAACGGAAACATCAATTGACCTTGAAGCAGTGTTCACCCTCTATTTTGATTCCAGATTAACAGCAACTTTCAAGGTAAACCCTAAACATTTTGTGTGTATGAAATGTTTTAAACACGATGCTGTGATATAGAAAAAACAAAACAAAAACAAAAACGCATGAGGAAGATACATAGAAAGGGGGGACAGTCTTTGTTGTCCGTCCCCCCTTTCCATGTATCTTCCTCATGTCTAATTACCGTTACCAACATGCTCGGTTTGTACTTAAAAAAACGCAGCACATCCATTTTCAAGATTGCCCCGTTTCATTGTGTACAAGTAGATTCGAAAACACCGCGAGTCTAAGTTTCTTTCTTCGCTCCAAAGGCGGCGCCAGCTGCCGCTCAATGACGTCAAGGCTATCATCATCATCAGTCTTCAAGTAAAAACCCAGTAGGGTAGCCTGCACTGCAGTGCACGCAGCTGTTTTGACAGTTGTGCTCGCGTCTTGTCAAATGGAGCAATTTGTTCACTGTGTCCTACTGTTTTCCGGTGTCATTCTGGCATGTGTCGCAACCGCGAGCGCCGACTTCCCGCTGTTAATGCCACAAGTACAGCCGACGCAGGTAACCGACCTTCCGCCTTCGTCCGTGACCTATGGCCTCCCTTTAGAACCAACCTGTTTACCAAATCTACGCGGTGACAGATTACACCCAACCTAAGCCATGCTTCTTTACATTTAATTATTCTAGCTAGCTTGGATCGTGAGCCGATTTAGAGAGGGCGTAGAGCTTCCGATGATCCTCCATATGGTTCCACATTGGCGCCTTCCAAGCGTTGCGAACACTCACGACCTAGCCTAAAGTTTGATCCGAGATCGGCATTTTAGGATCGTTTGGATTTCCGTAGCTTGGCCTTCAGAAACGCTAGCGTATAAACGAATTCCATGTGTGCTCTTGAGATGTTGCAGGACGACGCGCCTGTGTTACAACGAAGCTTGTGTGTGCTTTTGAAGCGTTGCTTCAACGAAATGGACTTGAGTTCTTGGTCATTAATCACCACCATCATGAACAAAGCCCGTGTAAACTAGAGTGCCTTCATGTTCGCTCCTAGTGTAAACGTGAAAACGGAAAAAAAAAAAGAAAGCGGATTGCTTCAGTGCGTAGACTTCGATATGTTTAATAGTTCGGTGGATGCAGGTTTCAGATGCATTTCGTTTTCTTGTTTGCATGCCTGAATTATGCTTGCTTCCCTTGTTTTTGTGCTGCTAGTGATGTGGCCTGGTCTGATTGTATACTTTCATTCAAACCCTGGATAGCCAACCCTGAATCAGTTTGGACAACTGTACCAAACTTTAAGCGTTTACTGTATTGAACACGAATTGGAAGCGTGAAAATATGGAGATAGGAGCTAGTCTAGGAACCATTCACCGAGGTCTTCAGGAGCTGTCAAACGCATACTCGTAAATAGTAGCACACAACCTTTTTATGGGTCATGCAGCTGTGACACCAACTGTTAATACTCCTCTTCATGCTTCCTTACTGCTGTAGCAGCAGGCGTTCTGTTCCAGCTGTCGGCAGCAAGCACAAAAAGACAGACATCCTGTTAAAGCAGCAACAAATGGGGGTGTTAATTGAATGTTTGTTTTTGCTCTGAGAACTTGAAACGAGCCGTCTCTGTGCAACTATATTGCCTTGCTAAGTTTGTTTCGGGACGTATGCATGAAACTTTGCACAGTGTCACCTCCTGCTGTTGAGTTCCTTGTTCACGAACATTTTAATAAATCAGCAGTTCAGGAGGCTTTAGTGTGAGCCGCGCATCATGAGTGAGAACAAGCACCTCGCTTGAATTAATTTCTCCATCAGACATGCGCTCGTGTGATGAAAGTGCAAGGCATCACCAGTTGCTCTAGAAGCTGCAATTAAAAAAAAATGGTAGACAGTTTTTAGCACCTATTGGTAGCAGCTCAAAGACACCTATTAAGCTATGTAAGTAAAAACAAAGAAGAAAGTAAACTGGTGTTCTTGAAACAAATAAAAAAAGTATGTATGGATGAAGCAAACAAAGAACATTTCGGGAGTGAGAGACGAGGACATGGATTTTTTGCTGTTGTTGCTTTTCAGGTTATTTCCACGGAGGAATCGTCCATAATTGAGTCTCTCATTAGAATGGGGCACTGGCAATATCATAAGTAATACACATTGAGTGTGGCCTGAGCAGATGTGACTTATTTGCCTGAAAATGCAGATTTGTGTTTACTTTTCCCCTCTGGCACCTATGGTTTACGGTCAAAAGGAGCAGAATATCTTCGACTTTGAGGAAACATCTTCCCTGTTCCTTCTTGGCAGGCACAACTTTTAGAAAACATCTTCCATGTTCCTTCTTGGCAGGCACAACTTTTAGAAAACATCTTCCATGTTCCTCCTTGGTGGACAGCCTTGTCCGCTTACAACTCACACTTACCACTCTTTCTTTCCACCTCACACCTGACGTGGTCTTTATGGTCCCCTAAAATATGGGTGAAAGTGTCCTGGCTTGCCTTTCATGCAACGGATACTATGGCCGTCTATTGACCATTCCTATAGTCGCCTTCTGTGCTTTGCACTCTTTGTCTACTGGGCCGTGCAACGGTTTTGGACATTCGCAACAGGTCTCCCATACGGAATGTCGGACGTCATGCATGCATCCACACCCCATTGACTCAGTATATTTAGCCTGGGTAATAAGTAGGGCTCCGTGTTTTCGGAGTTTATTTTTCGTGAAATTCAAAGGGTGTTTTTGGGAGTTTATTTTTTAGCGAAAATTCGGTGTTTATTGGAGTTTATTTTTCATAAATCCTCAATTCTCCGAAATTCGGAAATTAATTTGGCAGTGTTTCCTATTAAAAATAATAAATAGTAACCGGATGCGAACGTATCCCAGATAGAAAATAAAACACACTTGTATCAATTAAGATTTCTTCAGTTGAATTTGATGTTGGTGTCATTGGCAATACTAATTTTTCCCACGACAAAAGTCGCACACAAATGTGACTTCGATAAACGTCGATACCTTAAAATCAATAAACTGCCAAAGATAGCCGCAAGGAAGCTCGTAGTCATCGCATCAGTCTATGCATCTGCCGCGCGAGGTGGATGTAATAGAGAAGATTCAACTGCCCCTCATTCCCTATTTTATAGAATCTCTATGGTCCATAGCTTTCACTGTTACCCCCAGAAACATACCCTCTTCTTTCTCTAAATTCCAAATCCCATGGCTCAAACTGGACACCAAAAGAGTGGCTTTTGTCGTGACACGAATGGTACAACGACCTGTTTCGCTGAACCAACCTTGACGAGACAAGCCGTAAGACCCCCTTTTGGCGCCAGTCCAAGGCTTGAAATATAATTATGGTGTCATTTGTAAATGTAAAAAAAAAAATAAAAAAAAAAAACCTTTTTTTTTTTTTTTTATTGTTTGGGGGGGGGGGGGGTGGCATGGGCACATAACAATTCAGAGTTTATCGGATAAATCCGAATTGCCAAAAATTTTACCGGCGGGTGTTTTTCGGATTTATCCGAAAACACGGAGCCCTAGTAATAAGCGATGGAAAGCTGTGCGGCGGTAGACAAAGGAAAGGTAGGGCGAATGAGCTGTTTGACCAGAATGCCTGTCGAAACCCATTCATTTTTCGGTGGCTTGCTTTATCCTTTCTTTATACCCTCAATGAACAGGGAAGTATAGAAACACCCTCAGGAGACTGTCTTTTGAGGGCTTCACTATTTTATTATCTGTTCTTTCTGCTGTCCGTCAGCTTCTTCCTCAAAACTTGCGTCTATAATATGGCGAGGCAACAGTGTTCACATTAGCCGGTTGGTTGTCAAATAGGCCACTCATATTCCAATAGCATTGTTTTGTCCTTATGGGTAGTAGGGTGTTCACATTATCGGACCCATGTCACAGAAACTAACTATATTTACCTTAAAAAAGATGGTCTGTATGCCAAACGAATCTTGCCAACTAGAGTGGTATATTGATCTTTAGACATCTTTTCCTCATTCATAGAATGAAACCTACCTCTGCACCGGCTTTCATGTTGCATCAAGCAAGCATCAATATATCGGTAAGTATCGACATCTCGTTGGAACGGATAATGGAACTGGAAAAGTGGGGCTGTTACTGGTCTTATACAATCTTGTGCGCAGCAAGGACAAGGCGCAACTTTCAACTGAATTTTATTGAATACGTGTTCTCGTATTTATAGTCTCAACCATCGTTACAATGACAACAAACAAAATGACAACAGCAAAAGAAAACGACCATCACTGAGCATAATTGGAAAATAACACTATCTCATTCTTTGGAAAAACAATTCCTTCTCCGATAACGCAGTCGACGGCATAGCAACACGCGTGTCTCCTAAATAATCAATGTGCTCGGCTTCTACGATTTTGCGTGTTAACGCTGACTTGCATTTCCCAATTTTTACACATCCATCCAACAGTGGTTTACAACCGCAAGTCCTGCAATGCAAGTCAAGAAAGCCTTCTATTGTCCTCGTCCTTGCTGCGCACAAGATTGTATAAGATGTCAAACCAACTTGTTCAAACCACCACTCTTCCTGTTACTGGTGCTTACCAGTAATTTACACACGAGGGCTGGTTCAATCTCTTTAGCCGTAAGGCAGAAAAATGCCAAGCCCCCTCTAACTGAAGCATTGCTTGACTTCATTAAGCATTCAGATAAACTTTGTTATTTTCGTGTTGTTTTCTAAGCGATTTGTGCATTAAAATATCATTTTATCATTGCGTACACAAATTAATGATGATCACACTGGCATGGAAACTTTAAGGTACCGAATAGCATAGAAGAAACTATTGTCGAAAGTCATTCTACATAATTAGGAATCTCGTCGTCTTCTTGACAGACAGCCTCTTCTTTCCAGAGCTGACGAATTTCAAAATAAGAAACTTCATCTTTCCCTTTGCCAAATGGAATTCTTTACCCAAACATATTGCCCTTAAAGGGATGCTGAACCAAAATCTGGATTCCACAAAACACGTGGCAAAAGCGTGCAACGGGATGCTACAAACACCAAAACATCACTCATACGGAGATATCTCAAACGGATGACCGTATTTTTCAAGAAAAGGAGGCGGATTTGACAGAAATGTTCACGTCATGTTTCTCCGAGGAGGAGAGGGAACTGCCTCGCAGCCTTGAGGGAGCGAAGTGAATAGAGGAGGAAACTCGGTATATTCACGTCACGTGCCTTGTCGGCTTGGTTCAATCTTGACCTCTTTTTCCAAAAATACGGCCGTCCATTCGAGATATCGCCTTACGAGTAATGTTGTAGGGATTGTAGCGTCCTGCCCACATCTCCTGCATTGTTTTTCTGAAATCCAAATTTCGATTCACCATCCCTTTCATGCCTTTTGTAATGTGTGTTACAGAGTGTAAAGAGAGTGGAGGTGATGGGAAGAACTTGAAGGAATCTTCCTGGAAGCCTCAAAGTGGAAAACAAAACTTTGCTAAGAGACTTTACTCCTTCGTGGCTAAGAAGCCTGCAGGTGCTAAAGCTTCCAGGAGGTTTTCTTTATTTTTTCCCAAGTATGTTTGACACGTTTAAGATAACCATACATGGGTAAATTACTTCCAAAATGTAATTGAATTACAATTACTTTGGTTCAAAAGTAGTTTAACTACAATGACTACTACATTAAAAGTAATTAATTTCAATTGCAAATTACTTTTCAAAAGTAATGCAATTACTTTACAATTACTTCTGAGAGTGACCCGACTTGGGCCATAAAACTTTAAAAACGTTGTATAGAATGCAACCTATTTGTTCATTCCTTACTCCATTGTTCACATATCTTTTTATGAATTTTGTCAAATTCATGATAGAACTTGACAGTATGGGGCAGTGAAGTACTACATTCTTATATCTTTAATAAATAATTATAAATTAGTTTATATGCTGGAAGATGCCAGATCGCTAAAGAAAAAATTGGGTTGACAGACTTTTGTTAGCCACGCAAATTAAAATGCGACAATTAGTCATATAGAAATATTTTACAAGTGTTATATAAAGTTAAAATCCACACGTGCTAATATGACTACATTCACATACAAACATCATGGTATTGTAAATTATTTACATTGAGTTGAAATGATCATAGCTCAGAAATATTTAAGTACCGAATCGGGGCTCCCGAATCATTGGTGACAATATTCACAAGTGCGAGGTCAGTCTCCAAACTGCTTATGCAAATAATATCCGAAGTAAAACCAGCAAGCAATAAATTTGAAAATAGCACAAAAATACTGGAAGAGGGACGTAAAAAAAATAGGCAAAAAAGAAAGAAAAAAAACTTCATAGACTAATAAGTTCCCAACCTCGGCTGAAAGCTGAAGCTAAATTTTTTCTTTCAATCTTTTGGCATGTTTACGCTATTGTTGACTTCTCGCACACCAGACGGCGCTACACAGTGCCATTGAGATAGGCTCCAAAGAGGATTGTCTCTCAGCCCGCAGCGTAAGCAACAAAACAACAAACAATGCAACACTATTTATGTTTTATGTGTGTGTGAGCGTTTCACCGAGAGCCAGGCCGCTTGTGCAAGTGCTGAGACTTCCAGAAAGGTTCCTTCGGTGCCAAAATGTTTTGCGAAAGTAATTGTAATTGTGTCTGAAATTTTGCAATTACTGACGCTAGAAAGTAATTTAATTACAATTTCCTTTAGCCAAATGTAATTAATTACAATTATAAATTACCAAGAGAAGTAGTTAAATTACAGTAATTCAATTACAGTAATGAAATTACTACCCAAGTATGAAGATAACCTCTTTGCTGATTCGCTATTCGACTTGGCTGAACCTCTTAGACTGCTAAGCCTGTATGTGTTGCTAAGAGACTTCACTTCTTGGGGACTAAGATACTTGACCTTGAAAGACCTCCTAGGACAGGGGTCTCAAACATGCGGCCTGGGACTCCCTGGGATACGGCCAAAAGTCAGCCGGCTGCAAGCCCCCATTCCTGTGTCTTGAGCGCTAGAAATGACATCTGCCATTTTGATATCATGTCACCAATACATTTCTGCTCGAAACGTTCCGCTCTTATAACATATTCACATAGTTTATACTATATGTTTCGTTTTAATCTTTGCTTCTTCGATTTTTTAATGTTAATCACCTGTACAACAATTCGGCTAAAAAGCTATGAGCTCTTCGCTCAAGTACGCACTTCGGCTGCACAAATTCTTGCATCAGCAGGAGCAACTGTCAAAAATAAAGCTACAAGCTCGGAACTCTCGCCTTCTGAATATATCACCATTAAAATACAAGTATTTTTTTTTAGACTTCCAGGAAAGGAAGAGATGTCGGTTGAAGAGATTTTGTTTTTCTAGACAGTTTGCGTTCGATTAATTTTCGAGTGAATTGAGGAATGGGAGCGACAGTGTGCTTATGCTCTTGTTCTATTAAAAAATGCCAGCACGTTGACGAGACGGTGCCATTTTAATTCTTTTTGTTACATCAGATAAGGGCAAAAGCAAATCAAATCTGAAGATGTCACTGGCAAAGCTGCGAATTTACAAAAAGCAGAAAACACAACGTCCTTTTTCTGTCGAATCTCTTAGCCCCCACTTGTTTTGCGTTGACCCTTGACCTTTACGGGCTGCACTATTTTGCCCCCATACTCACATGAGTTTGAGACCCCTGTCCGAGAAGGTCTAAGGCTTCTAGGAGGCTCCACATTAAGTATGTTTCATACAATTTAAGATAACCTCTTGGCTAGGAGACTTGGCTAAACCTCTTGACAACTTTAGAGTTAAAATTAGTTTAGATGTTTTGCTAAGATGCCTGGCTTCTTGAGGGCAAAGAGACTTAGCCCTGATGAACCTCCTGGAAGTGCTAGGGCTTCTAGAAGCTTCTTCACGGCCCCCTGAAGGTCCTCTAGAAGGTCTGGCACTGTGGGACTGATGCTACCAGAAGCTTCCTTTCAACTACGGGAAATCAGTTCTTGAGTGCTATTTCCGCGGCACCGGAAGGAAAGGGCTATAGATAGAGTCTGTCGTCTCGACGTGCAGTGGCCTTCAGGCCCAACGCCACGAAGCATGTGGCCCACCACATCCTGATCTACGGTTGCGAGTCCCCGGGTTACCGTGAGTGGGATACGCCGAGGGCCGTCTGGGACTGCGGGGAGATGGCCACCTCCCACAGCATGTTCCACAAGGGCCCCACCTGCAGGACGGGCTCGCAGATCATCTATGCCTGGGCCATGGACGCACCAGCCCTCAAGCTGCCGGAGGGTGGGTCACGCTCCCTACTAGTGTCTGGTGCTTGAAGCACATCTCCGACTGGTGTGTTCACCTCCCTATGCGGAGTGCAAGTTCGTCTGCTTCTTTCACGGGGGGTTGCGATGATGTCAGAGCGCCGAGCTCTTATTGGTTCATTGAAAGAAATAGTGAGTAGACGTCAAAGCACCTAGCATTGAGGTCTGCCCACTATCCTTCAATCAGAGGTTGGCGTCATTCTCACGTCACCGCAACTCGTGTGCAAAAAGCAGACGACTTGATCTCCGCATACCACCCATGCATCGAAAGGTGTCTCGCAGCTGCAACAAACAATATTGCAGAAGGCAGTGTGTCATGCTGTTGGATGTCACGGTCCTGGGTGTCGGTTGTAGAGATGTGAGCGGATGCAAGGGTCGCCAATGTCGCGGAGTTCCGTCTCGTGTTCCCCGTAGTTTTTGTCGTCTGTCTGGCAGGCGAAAGGGGCTGCAGCAAAACAACCGCCCGCCACGTACACATTTGCTGCTGCGCCGCCAGCAGGATCGCGGTGGGCAACAGCACGACACAAGTTTGATGTCATTCTGTGGAAATCGAGGGACCACCTATGAGAACGTGGTGAACATACCAGTCGTTCGAGGCAACGTACCATGACTGAAATGATGCATTGTTGGTTGTGAGGGGAATGGGTGAAAGAGCTACACTCATAGTTGCCATGATTTAAAAGAAATCTGGAATCGATTTGTTGCTTTTGGTTTGGTGTAGTGGTGTTTATGTCTTATGGTGCACACAAAAGTCTCTTAACATTTCCGGTATACCGACACTGCAACCTTCGAGATTTCAGTATCCCTGCATGCTGAGCGTGCGGGTTTGTACAGCGCAGGCATATCGTCCAGGGCAACAGGCTCGTGCTTTGTAGCTTCGGTTATGGTGGTGCAGACAGCAAAACAATATAACCATAGAAAAGTGTGTTTTCTGTTGGAGCATGATCTAAGCTTTTGTATATTTCCATGCAATGTTTGTAAGCTTCTGAACTGCTTTATTGTGAGGCTGCTGAGAGAAAAAATGGGGAAGGGATGTTTCTCAACTCTTACTTAAAGTACCTAAGAGTTCACTAAGTTCTGAGAGTGTAAGAACCCTCGAGCTAATTCACTAGCTTTTCCTAAGAATACTGTTGTCTATTGCCCCAGGGCAGTTAATAGGTGGCGCCTCGGTCGACTGCTAGTTCGCTCGGCTGGGGGCCAAAAGGGGGAACTTTGGGAAGGTCTAGCCATAGAGCGATCGAATGTGAGCTTAAGATCTGGTCCAACAATTGCGGCCGCAGGCCTTGTCAGAGTTGCACAAATTCCCGGTAAGATGACGCCACCTGTCAAACCAAACTTGATTGCCCGGCGGGTATAGCAACTCTTTGATGCTCTGCCAGCGTTGCATGTTTTATTGCCTTTTCCAACAAGTTTTGGTCCAATATCGGGGAGATCAATGGCCAAGTCTGTTGACGCACCACGGCTCGTGGATCAAAAGCTCACACTGCAGAACCGAGAGATCCTGGGTTCAGTTCCGCTCCTGCTCGTTTCGATCTGGATTAGCGTTGTACCGGCATGTGGTCGTGTAGTCACTACCGTGTTAGGCATTCTAAAGGGGTTGGGGTCATACTCGTACATGCTGGACTAGCTAAATCTTTTATCTAGAGTGGAGACACCACGTGACCATTGGGGACCACTGTGTTGAACCATATGCACAATGAAATCACTTTTTTGACCACTGTTAGGATGGATAACGAAATGCATGGTCATTTCCCCTCTTTTTTCATGTTCAAACACGACCCCCCCCCCCTCCCCCCCCTTTCCATCTGTGAAATAGACACATTCGTATACACACCTTTTTAAATTCATACTAAGCTTTGAACCTCCAAAAGATTTTGCCACACTGCAAACTATTTCTTTAATCTTTGACCGACAGTATGAGGTTTCTCCCATGGGATTGAAAGGGTGGCAAAGGTTTATCTTGGAAATCAATATTAGCTAATGTTCGTATGGATCTGCCTTGAGGACTCATAAGTAGATTGCCAGCCTATGAATTCTCCGTTGGCAGTTTCAAACCTCGGTTGAAGGCCGACGAGCAGCTTGAAAGGCGAAAACTCTCCCTCAATTGCTCCTATTCATTCGAGGAAGAGGGAGACCCTCCTCCTTTCTGCAGGCAGTGGCCGAGAGACCCATTCCTGCAGGAAGATGAGGAGAGACGAGTGCAAGAGGGAATGGCAGAAGACTCCGTACGTCGACCCTTAAAGGGCAACTCCGGCCAAAATTCGAAAGGAAACGAATTACTGGTACCGCTTTAGTGGCACAAAATACGACCCCAGCCAAAGTATTACGTCATTCCCAACTAATGCCGATAATAAAAATGTGACCCGATGCGAGCAGCCGCTCCTTAGCAGGCCGCCAGCGGGTCACCAATCGCTAAAGCAACCTTGGGCTGTGACATCACAGTTGTTCTCTTCTCTTTTCCCTTGGTCCAGACAAGCCCGTCTGGACCAAGGGAAAAGAGCCTTAACCCATTGCGCGGTTGAGCGGCGTAAAGTGCGCTTTGAGGCGCTACCGCCGCTACTTTGACTGGTGCTTGCCGTGTTTAGCCGTTGCTTTTATCTGTAGCTTGTGGAGCTTCGGTATAGCCTTTTGTTTATTTGCTTGTGAGGACTCCAAGGCTCATTTTAGCGAGCAACTCGGTGCGCACTCGCGTGCATCGTGGTGTCAGACAGAAGCACTCTTCCTGCGAAGTTCGTCAGCACATGACAGTGGGTCATGGGCATATGGGTTAAGGCTCCAGCTATCGTCGTCTTCAATGTCTTCACTAAACGACGTGTCTGCTGAAAAAAAAAAAAAAAAAGAAGCCCGCTAAGTTTGGAAATTGGCACACGACCTTGATGCGGGGATTCAAAATCAAATGCTTTATTTATCCCATATAAAGAAAGAAAGCAGAGATAAAAAAACATAACAAAAAACATTTGTGGGTTGTCGATATACGTCCTGCATTGAATTAGTGAAAAGGATGATTCCAGCCGAACCACAGTGAAGACGTAAGGTAAAACATGCATTCAACATAGCAATGAAGTTCCCATTACTAAGTGGTTGACTTACGCAAAAGGTAAACATGAAAAAAGTATCCAGATTAATAAAGCAGTCATTGTCAAATGCATTGTTGAACATGGAGCATTCACGCTCCGTTGAATGGGGAATGGCAGGCATGTAGACTACAACTACTACCTAGCTCCAATCACAAGTTTTTTTTACGGCGGAGCTGTTAAGGGCTAGGTTCCTGAGCATCGTGTCCGGTACAAAACATTTATCAACAAAAATGCCTCTGGACAGCTGCCACCATCTATAAGCGACGGCGGCAAGCACACAACCAGTATGGTTGCTGCCATCGCTGGTAGATGGCGCCAACTTTCCAGCTATCATAGAAGAATGGATAGTTGGGCGGCACATTGGCAAGAATTCATCGTAGGAAACAGCGCGAAAAACAGACAACGACAAAGACGAAGCACATGTAACGAGCGCAGTTCTCGTCACGTGTGTTTCTTCATCCTCGTCTGTTTTGTGCGCTGTTTCCTGCGCTGTAATCAGTTTCGGTTTGGGCTCAGGATGGGTCAGCCGCGTGCCCTTTCGGGGAAAGTACACTGGCTGCGAAAGAAGCGTCGACGTATGCAGCAGCGCGAATGGGTCCGTAACCGTCGCAAAGCCGCTGTAGCCTCAACTTCCACTGCGTCGAGCGCTTCAGATTCCCTTGCCAAAGAAGAGAACATCGCTCACCTGGAAAGGCGCCGCTGAGAACAGAACCAGCGATGTAAAGGGCGCCGTCGGGCCAACACCATGGACGACGATCGTGCCACGGAGGCCAAGCGCAAACGCGAGGCCCGGCGATGACTGCACCCCATGCCGGCTGAACAGTTCCCGGGCGCGACGGCGATGTTCCGGAGGGAGTTCGTAAATTACCCGTTTGGCGTCACGCGCGCCGTGTGCGACCGACTTTGGGTCGCCGGAGACGTATCCACGGTCGGCGGCATGTCGGACAAGGAGAAGTGGGAAACGGGCGCGTGCACATTGCGGCAGTGTGCCGAGTACAGCTCCGCTGGTCTTCCTTCTTCACGAGAGTGGAAAGGCTGAACGTTTTTTTTGTGTGTTTTTCTTTTGTGACTTTTGAGTGCGGCAAGCCTTTTCTTTGATATTTTCACAAATTAGATCCGCCACCTAGACAAACTTGTGAGGTAACTTACAGTGTCGTAACTTACAAACTCTCTTTTTATGCGCCTGAGGAAAAAAAACGAATAAACAAACGTATACAGCCCAGCAGACGCGTGTTCAAACGCCGCGGCCTGCGCCGGAGAGCCCCAAAGCTTCGTGTGTGGGACTGACCCCCAGCGCAAAAGCGAGAAGCCTAGGTACGCATATGGACAAGCGCACGCATGGCGAGGGCCCCCCGAGTACTGTACGTCACTGGCAGCGCGGCGTATAGAGCAATGCCGCTCCATCCACGGAGCCCCAATGACAATTTAGGCCTAGACACGAGTACGAACAAGCTAGCGCACACATGGCGACGGCCGCCGGGTACAAAGTTAATCAACGCCTGCCGCACGCGCGTTCCACCGCTCATACCAAGAGCAACAAACAATCAGGGTATTTTGCCGCAGAAAGTTACTTCCCCCGTTTTAGCGAAATAAACGACTACGGTATTGATTTTGTGCGTACACCATAACCACTACCTTGGTCGAACTGGAGGGGTAGTGAGATGGGCGTCCTACACCAGCACCGAACGAGTTCACTCGCCTACCAGTCGTTAGCTTTTCTGCTGGCGACTGGTAGGATATCTTGATATGCTGGATATCTACCACGTATACAGAATTTAAACGGAAGCAGCTTACCTTTTATCTTTAAATGGATAGTGCCACAGAGGCAGCTGCCACTTGGACCGCATACTCGTTGAACGAGAACGACCGTGACGTCAAGTTTGCTTAACAGCTGATTTCCAGTGTTGCAGGGGCCTCGAGCGGCTAGTTTCGGTTTTGTCGACCGTGCCCCAAACAAAACTTTGAGGCGTCGATATCCTCAAAACTACGCAAAATACCGAAAAAAAAATTACACCTTGTAATTCAGGGACGCTGACTGCGCTAAAAACAGTCATAATCCCAAAATTGAAAGTATGGACCGTAGTTTCCCTTTAAAAAAATGCTGAACCGAAATCTGGATTCTACAAAACACGACAGCAAAAGCGTGCAATGGGATGCTAAAACATTACTCATATAGCGATATCTAGAACGGATAACCCTATTTTTCAAAAGAAAAAAAGGAGGTGCATTTGACAGAAACGTTCACGTCTTGTTTTTTCGAGAGGGAGAGGGAACGACCTCGCGTCTTCTCCGCCTCGCCGCCTTGAGGGGGTGAAGTGAAGAGAGGAGAAAACGAGATATGTTGACGTCACGCGCCTCGTCGGCCTGGTTCAATTTTAACGTTTTTTTCCAAAAATACGGCCGCCCATTCGAGATATTGCCTTACGAGTAGTGTTGTAGGGATTGTAGCATTCTGCCTACATCTCCTGCATTGTACATTTTTAGACTGCCCGCTCGACCTGCAGGGCGTCGCAGCACTGAAAAGTATGGGTATACTTGAATGTTGGTTTTAGCGTCATTTTCACTTGCCGGTATCACAATGACTATTCTGAATTTCGCTATACTAAATAGAGTACCGGAAAGAGCATTTTTAAAAATGCTGTTAGTTGAGGTGAAAAAAAAAAAAAAAATTGGGTCGTATGTATGTTTATACAGCCTAGAACTTGGTCTGCCTCACAGGGGCGATGAGTCTCCCAGCTGTAGATGAGCAATTTAGCCACTGCAGTACAACCGCTAGCCTGGGGTTTTAATGTGCACCATGCAGTAGTGATACACCACTGCACGCCGGTACGACGGACATCCAGATCGAAACGAGGAGGGGTGTGGATTGAACCCAAGATGCTGGGTTCTGCAGTGTGAGCTTTCGCTCCACGTGCTCCGTGTTAGTTGGGGCAGCCCAAGAAATTGCCAAAGTTCTGCTTTTAGGTGCTCGCAATATGTTAAAAGCTTATTGCGATGAAGGCATTGTGTCGTGTAAGGTTTGAACGTATGATCAAGATCCCAGCGTGGGCTAGATTTATCTTCATGTTTTTGTTGGGGTGTGCCAGATGCCTGCTGTTGTCCTGAAACGTAAACCCCCAAAATTTCACTTTTCTTTTCTTTTTTGCAGGAGTTGGGTTCAAAATAGGTGGCAACAGTGGCATCAACTATCTTGTTCTACAGGTGCATTATGCTGATACCACTGCGTTCCTCAGTGAGTTTTCTTTAAATCTTCATTTAACCGTTCATAATCTTTCACATCTATTTCAATCCCCCTAACATAACGTATTTGCAGTCATGGACGTGCCACGCCATTTGTGCCAAATTGCACCATGAACGCAAGTGTGCTACGTGTCGCGCCAAAATGCCATCTTTGCTCAAAATTGCCCCACACCTGCGCCAGAATGAGCCTAAACAAATAAAAAGAAAATGATTGGTTGACACTAATAACTAATATTGAAAGAAGTAGAAAAGGAGGAAAATGGTAAAAACATTTACTTTGCAGCATCTCTACTCACTGTAGCTAAAATTCGCTCGTGTACGTCCGAACTTCCAGACAATGATATTGGCGATGTCACGTAGCTAGAATTCTCGAGGAAAGTGCGTAAAATGGCGATATGGTGTCTGCTCTGATAAGACAGAACCAGGGTCTCAATTCCTGACGAGATCTCTTGATTTTTCATCTTGGCCACATGCCTTCACGCCTTGGCACAATCGCTGCTCATGTCACCATCTTGCACAGGCACGCGTGCGTCGAGCTTCACTGCATCGCATCAGTGCGTTAGGAGAAGTGGCTTACGCGGGGGAACACCCGTGGTTTCGTGCGATGGGTTTGGAAATTGTGCTCAGTACTATTACAGGTTGACCGTTTGTTGGTCTTGATTGTAGGTCAACTTCTATTTTAACGAGTAATTCCAACAGAGAAAAGGAAACAAGAAACACGGACCTACATTCGTATGAGGAGACAAGGTATTTCCTGCGCAGCAGTTGAGACAAGGGCCCATACTCTACTCAACACTGGCTCCAATGCCACCAATTTTTGCAGGACCAGGAGTTTCACTTTTAATGTCTTGGTGGAACACATTTTTATTGATTGACGTTTTAGCGGGTATACTAGTTTTTTCCCTGATTTTTACGTAAATGATGTTGATAGGCTACAGTAACTATGAGCGTGAAAGAGCGAGTGGGAGAGATGCTTTATTTCAACTGAAGTATCTTGCTGTGATTAATTTTTCGACCATATTTCTTTCTTAATCCCTATTGTAAACAGAACCTACTTTGCCCTGAGCCTTATTTCTAAAGAAACAGTTGCGTTACAGAACTGTTTTTGTTTGTGTTACACACAAATGTTTGTGTCACACAACTGCTCCAAGCCAACATTTCGCCTGCTCCAAAACCTGCTACAGAAAAGTTAAACGTCGCAGTCCATCACTGTATTAGGAAGTGTAGTCTTCCTCGCCCGTAGGGTTGGAACCACATTTGTGCGGCAGTTCCCTTTGCCGGTTTGCGGGCATGTTGGAATTCTCTTTTTATATCTTTCCAGATGGACACAAGAGAGACAGCTCTGGCATTGTGCTCTCCTTAGTTCCTGGTGACACCAATCAGTATGTGTTGCCTCTCCAAATATGTTCACGTGTTGCACTTCTCAAAATGTCGGTAGTGTGCAGGGAGCAAACGCCTGCTCCAACCAAAAGAAATGATCAGTGTTTAGTGTCCACGGCATGGTTATTTCTTTCACTTTGGTAAACTAGTGCTCAGAAAAACATCTCACATTCATAAAGTGTGCAACATGTTGTAGCCGTTTTGTTTCCGTATGCTTTTTTTTTTTTTAATGTGCACAATGGACAAGGACGAAGAAAACCCAAAGCTCTATAACGAAGGTCTTTCCTGTCTGCTTTGTCATTGTTGTTTAGGTGCTACTCTTTGTCATGACTTCACATGAACTAGCCTAAGTTAAACATACAAAATAGCGCAAAAAAGACAAGGACAAGAAGTATATTTTGTTGGGCCAACTAGCCCAACAACGTAATCTATTTATTGAACTAGCCTAACCTTCTACCTTTTTTAACTAAACCATTTGTCACCCTGAGGGACAAAGGAGAAACTCTGAGACTGCTTCTAAAAAAAGCCTTACTCGTCCCATTACGCAAAAAAGCGGCTGCGTTGTGCCCAAAAGATGGTCACACCAATACGTCATCAAGCACGCGCCTCAGAAATAAAACACAAAGAAATGCACAGCAATGCAGATGCTTCATTACGGACGCCGTCCTGAAGTTGGCACGTTTCGCCTCGCCTGCGCAGTGGGGGAGCGTGATGTCACTGCCAGAGCGCCGTGTGAGGAAGTAGCAAGTGGGAATGCGCTGTGTGTAGGAATTCTTTCGCATTCCTACATGTAAGCGGTCTTAAACGTCTCTGTCGAATTTTTTTTGTTTATGGGCTCTGTTGTGGTGATTCAGTATATCGTAGAGTACACATTTGTAGAATGGCTCCCAAAGGGGGGTCTGTGGACCTTCTGGGGTCTCAAGGGCCTTCTTGGCATCCCCAAAGCCCTCAACTATCAATCAAACTAAGCAACAAAACCTTTTTTTTTTATTGATGCTGAACGTCTCAGAAAGGTATGAATAGACCAAACCGTGTGCACCGTGTGAGTGGGGTTGATTATTCTCCATTTAAGAGCATCGAAGTCAGTTTGCACGCATTTAGTCTTTGTCATTTACCCTTTTGTCATCGTAATTGTCCAACACCTCCCCCCCTGGTGGATGGGGTCCCCTATCCATTCCGCTGATCCAGAAGGTGCCCCCAAATCATCAGTAGTTCAGAACCATTGCATTAGCAGGAAGGCTGAAGATTGTTCGGCATAAAGGGGCACTGGAGTTCTTTCTAAGATCCTCGCTTTATTGTCATTTCTCAACCTATAAACTCTAAACAAAAAAAAAATTATTGTTTTGATTGATTTGCGTATTAAAAAAAAGTGATCAAAGATCCCAACACTTACCAATGGTGCAGAATGATGGACGGCGCTCACGAACCTTGCTGAATATGGCCAAACGACGGGCGGCACTTGTCAGCCACTCGCGGGCACTGGGTTCCCACGTGGACCTCGCAAGTAGCTGACAATCGCCGCCCATCGTTCGACCATATTCAGCAAGGTTTGGTAGTGCCATCTGTCGTCCTGTGCCACCGGCAAGTGTTGGGTTCTTTATCACTTTTTTAATACGCAAATCGGCCGCGCATGAATGTGATTTTGTGTTTTTTGGGAAGCTTAGAGCTCGTAGTTTAAGTTATGACCATAAAAGGCAAATATCAAAACATGCTTTAGTGCCCCTTTAATTTAAAGCCATACAGTGGCTTAGTCATCAAACTGTGCCTAAAGTTAGAATACTTGGTTCAAACATGTACAGAGATACAGTAATCCCTCGTTATAATGAAGGGACTGGGACGGCAAAAAAATCAATATAAGTGGTAATTTGAGAATAGCGATGAGGCCTTAAAAATGGTGCCAGCAGCGTTAAGGGTGGACGGGAACACTGCATAACATTCAGACCGTATATTTAATCAAACAAACCTTGGTTACAAACATTTCGTACCAGCTTTACCGAGTAAAAGAATAATTAGGCGGAGTTTGCTACGAATTTTATCCGGGCATCAGTTCTCCTCGAATTGCTCCAGGCACTGCAAGAACACTGTCACCGCAGTTGCACTCCACTTTGTTTCGAAGCAGTCGTAGAATCCTTTGCGTCTCCGCAGTCGTCGAAGTTTCCCGAGGTGCCTCTCCGATGTCGCTTTGTGTTTACCCTGGCTGCACTCACGCAAGGTCTACGACCGCAGCATCCGTGGCAGGAGCAACAACGGGAACGTCCGCATCGACAAGCGCGAACGAGTCAAAGTTGTCCTCGGTGGCTTTACCAGCACATATTCACACACTCCTGTACAGATTGGTGCAGCTACGGTAATCGTGCCCTGGCTCGGCAAGCATGCCCGCAGGAGAAAATGCAACGTGCGCGAAGCAGTTAGCGATCTTTCATCTTTGGGTCGCGGGCGCACTTTCTCATGCACGGCAAACTTAGCGAACCCGTCCAATACCTTGTTTTTTCTGCAAAATGGTGGACAGTGTCAAACAACCAATGCCGGAACGTAAAATTCTTTGGCGATTTTGGACTTGGGCCGGCCGCTTTTTTCAACCTCGCAGATCTAAGCGACTTTGGGTAGACACTCCCATATGATGCACGTATGCGTGTAGTATGCTGCAGGTGCGTGCATCAGGGGCCCTGGAAGGGATGACCTCCTTCGGGCTCCATCGCTCCCTTGACCCGATTCCGACAGGAGTCGGGCAGCGTCGGCCGCGGGCGTTGTGAGTAGTGTCGAACGTTGACGCTCCTTCCGATGCTCCCCGCCTGTGTAGCGCATCGGGAGCAGTGCTCTGGCAGCTCTGCGAGCTCTGCCCTCTATCACCCGTTTACTCAGTTTTCCCAGTTTGCCTTTTGCGTCGGTGGAGAAGGAGGAGGAGATGCAAGGGTCTCTATGTGCCTCCGTGTAGGCTTGCACGCTTTCGGCAGTTTGGCCTTCGTAATATAAGCGTGGGCAACCACCGATACACTTGAAAGAGTTCGGTTAAAAACGTGTGCATTTCGGTCAGGACCACCTTAAATTTTGATAAAAACGATAATCCGAAAAAAGAAACGATTTTGTTAGAATGAGGGATTACTGTATGTGACTTGGTTCTTAAACGATGCCTACTGTGGTGATGCCCTGTACTCAAGGGCAAGGGAACTGAGGAAATCTGCAGGGTATGCGCTGAGAAATGTCAACAGTATTTTTTTTCACTGGGACAAGAAGGTAAGCTGGGCATCGCTGTACGCCGAGTCTCCATCCATCTGTTGCGCTAGCAGTTGGGATAAGATGTCAAAGTTTCGGGTCTTAACATCATTTGTTTATTAAGTTAGAAGCAATATTCCAATTTCTTGTGAAAGAAACGGGCCTGTCTCTTGCAGCAGGTGCTTCTTGACTTCATGTATTCGCGGGCTATGCTGGTCGACATTCTCTCATGGTAAACTTTTGAAAATTGCAGCCATATTTTGAATTTACGGTAGTTCATGTTAGCTTCTGATGCATTTGCCTATTGTTGCAACTGCTGGTGCTAATTTGAGGCAGGTTATGAGTTCTTGCAATAAGGTAATAGCTTCTTTTGCTTTCCTTTGTGGATGTCTTGCAGATTCTTGGGGAGTCTTTGTGAATCCTAGTCGACTCAATGCACTCGCTTATCATTAGTGACTCACTGGCATGTTCGTCATTTTCATTCTCCCCTCTCAGGGTGAAGCGAAGAGCAGGAGTGTACGTTCTTGGCACGGGGGGAATGATCAGGGCACACACTAGAGGTGAGGCTGAAAGTCACAAAACTTCGTCCCCATGCTCACACTTGATGCTGGCGAAGGAATGATAGAATAAGTGTGATTGTCACCTTTGTTTGCAGAGAACTTTGAATCGGCTTGTCGGATCAACGAGAACTTGACGCTGTATCCCTTTGCCTTCCGTACCCACACCCACAAGCTTGGTGAGTGTGTCTACTTGTGGTGCTGGGAAACCACTGGCAGCATTGAGCAGTTTGGGAATGGAAATGCAAATGTCAGTTGGAAGGAGTTTCATATGGTTTTTAATTTCCACTTTTGTTTTTTTATAATAACATGGACATCGGATATTTTTAGGCAAGGCTGTGACTGGCTACGTGGTTCGGAAAGGACGGTGGACGAACATTGGAAAACACAGCCCTCAGGAACCTCAGGTAAGTTGAATGTTTACTTTTAGAGGAAAGCACTCTGGTACTGTGCCAGAACATGAAGAATAATTAATTGTAGAAAGATATGCTAAATTATTAGGGGTGTGTGAATACTCTAATATACAAATTCGAATTGAATAGAAAGTTCCCGAATAATTCGATTAGGGAATCGAATTCTTAGCATTCGGTCACTCGAATATTCAATATATTCGGCCAAAGACGCGCGGTCGGCGTGGAGCTGATAAAAGAGCCGTCTTTTCTCCCGATGTTAGCGCTGTAATGTTAGACAGACCATGCCAGAAACACTTCTTGGCCTTATAATTACACAAAAATCTAATGCCCAGGTCAGAAAAAAGAAAAGTAACGAACGCCAAAAACTTTATGACACGCAGATTTGCTCATGATCGTGACTCAATCTCATCTCGAGTCGCAACTGAAACATCCCGTTTGCACCGCTTCCAGAGAGGAAATGTTGGGAGGCCGGGATTCCGCGTCATGCCTAATTCTTTTCACGAGTAAAGCCCCTCGTTTCAAATTGAAGCGCCGATGTAGAACACACTTGCCACACTCACAGAAATCGGCAACTGCACAATCACAAAAAGAAACCACGTTTTAACCACGCCGATGAAACCAGTCGAGTTATCGTCGTCGTTCTTTTGGAACCGCAAGCTGCAAATTCTGATTCAGAATGAAACGGAACAGAAAAATAGTGTGCCTAGTTCTTTAAATAATTAAAAGCGCCGAAAAAGACAAGGACAAAGAAGTGGGACGACACAAGGCGCACTCGCAGCTGTGGTTTATTTTGAAAAGTACATGCATTTATAGGCCCCAGAACCCTGTCAGTCATCAGCGTGTCCCTCGCAACGCTTCTTTCAAATATTCAAACTCACTCTTTGACAGGGCGAGTGACGCTTCACTTACACACTCAACGCCCTTATCCCTAATTGCATATGCCTCGTGCACCTCTCTGCTTGTTGGGTCGCGATAACGAGCCAGAATCTTAATGTCATGTAGCACTGGCGTACACGGGCATCTATTACAATGAATGGCAAGATGGCCAGACGGGCTGGCTCGAGTGGCAGCCGCATGCTCGCGGGCGCGGTCATTCACACATCTGCCCGTCTGGCCAATGTACACAGCGCCGCATGACAGAGGGATTTCATATACAACTCCTGAGGCACACTCGGCAAATTTCGTCTTGTGCTTTTTGCTGCAAAGATCAGCCTGTTGATCGGGACAATTGATTTTACGGCAAAGTTGGACCATCCGATTGGGCGCTGAGAAAACCACAGGTACATTGAAACGCTGGGCCACTTTCTTTAAATTGTGTGACACTGAGTGCAGGTATGGAATAACCGCTGGCCTCATGCTGGGTCTCTCAAGGGCAGGTTTGCCCGTTCCTTTTATCTTTTTTACCAGGCCTTCAGCAACCTCAGTTAAGCACCTTTGCGGAAAGCCGGCCTCTTGCAGTTTTGTGATCTGTCGCGCGAAAGACGGCTCCAGCGCAATTAGTCCTAAGTGTGCCTAGATTTGAGAGGGTTTCCAACCGTTTGATAACTGCGAGAAGGTGACGAAAAGACGAAAGCGTCAATCGGGATCGGGCAGGCAGGGCAGGCGTCGTCGCTCTTCTGTTTGCTCGCCTTCTTTCCACGCGACAACACAACACATGCACACTTAGGACTAATTGCGCTGGAGCCGTCTCCGTGGTTTCAGTTTCGCTTGCTCCCTCTTTTAAATCAAGGCTCTCTAAAACAGGATAGATGGACAGAGGAATGGATGCATAGCGGCAGTTGAACGGTGACTTGCGCCACCTAACCACATGCTTTTTTTTCTTACTTCAGATTATATTGTTTCGGCCTGTTTACTCAGATTTAACACTATCTGTTTAATTATGTGAAATAAAATCTCGGGTGCCCTTTTTCTTCGTTAAAATTGAGACCAAATATCGCAAAATGCCCCTTTTCTGAATTATATATATATATAAAAAAAAAAAAAAAAAAAACGTCGCGGTGTTAGGTTGTGTTTTAAGAAGAAAAAAAGGCACGCGTGGCTTTAACGTTGGGTTTTTTGTGTCGTTTAGGGTAGATAGATTATGTTTGTGCCATAAAATTGGATCTTTATGCCCGATGTCCATCAGCAGGTGCTTTTTTTTTTCCCTTTTTTTTTTTCGTTTTCACAAGAACTTTTATACGTTTGTGCTTTTGTTTTGTACGAGATGCATATTCTGCACCAGGTACATACTCTGCACATATAATGACCTTATTCGCAGCACATTTTGAAATATTCCTAGAAATAAAATCAATATTCGATTCGATATTCGGCTTTTTTTTCTTAATTCGATTCGGTATTCGCTCGCCCATGGGCGTACCAACCAGGGGGGGCAAGGGGGGCACTTGCCCCCCCCCCCCCCCCCCCCCCCCCCCAGTTCTCAGAGTAGGGGGGCAAGGCATGTGTTTTGCCCACTTTGAAACAGTAGCCACTGAGCAGGGCAAACATTGGCCGGTGGCGCCCAAGGGACACAAAGGGCACCGCCCCCGGCCCTGGGAGGGGGCGGGGGCGGTTTCCCCCCCACTCAATAACAAGTTGGTACGCCACTGCGCTCACCCCTATAAATTATACATAAAGATCTGCTGTCTGTGTTCTGCCTTCCTGCGTTTAATTCTTTCTGAAATTTTTCGTGTTTGTTTTTGAGTTTTGACTACGGTACTCTCTCCTACTAGAATGTGCCAACCTTTCGGAGTGCAGCGTACTAGCACCCATCTTGAAATGTTGCCTTGCTGTTTCAGATGTTTTACCCTGCAAAGAAAGGTCTGAAGATTGTCAAGGGAGATGTGCTGGTACGTCCTGCATTGCTAGGGTGTTGATTTCTTATTGTGGTCGATACTTGTGGATCTGTTGAGGCAGTAATTTAGCTGGGGAAGATCGGTGTGTTTTAGTGACTGTATCAAAGGAAACAATTGCATGTCTAGTGGAGGAACTCTCTATACATCTTTGTAAATAAAAAGGTTTTTAATTCAAGAAAGCTTTAACACTTTTTTTTCATCTTGTTGAGCGTAATAAAACAGCCAAGAACAAACGTTGACTTATTGGTTATGGTTTCTTCTTGCAGGCTGCACGTTGTACCATGCAAAACTTCAGGGACAGAGACACTTATGTTGGGTAAGTTTGTGACGTGTAAGGTTCTTCACAGATTTTTGTAGCCTAATCTAAAACTAACCTAACCTCAGTAATTAACAGGTTTCTGTTCACTACAAATATTGAGACCTCTCAACAATACTACTGATAGTATATGTTTCCACCGATACAACAATAATCACATGGCAAGCTGGTTATTCTGCCAGACTTTTTTGACTGATGCTTATAAATGGGCCAAGTGGCCCAAAAGCAGGCCATAGGTTTTGTTTGCCATCTGCATATGTTTCTGTAATAGGAACAGATGACATGAAGTTGTGGAAACCAGATTCGGCCGTAGAAACAGCCTGATGCAGGGGAAGTATACATTGCTTCCCATTTGCCATGCTTTTTTCTTGGCTAGGGCATGCGGACGATGATTCTGAGAGAGTGCCTAGCCTTTAGGCGTAAAACTTTGAATACATTGGTATCCTTAAAAAAATTCCACGCTGAAAGTTCAGTGTTCTTGCAATATCGATGATCATCACTTACACTTTCATGAACTATGCACCTGGGTGCACAAAATCTCACCACTGACAATTGTTGGGCAATTCCTCTCTGCCCTATCCTTTCTGTCACCAGCAGTGGCATTTTCGGTGACAGTTCGAGAAGTAGACAAAGTGCAATACCTATGGCTGCAGTGACTGCATTGCAAAGCGTTGGACCCATCACGTGCAAGTGCGCTTGAAAGTGCACGTTCGCATGATCTCGGTAGTTAGACACCCTAGTGATAATGGTGCAGGTATCAGTCAGTAAGGATTTCCCACACCAGAAGGCCCAACCAGGCACTATATCAGTCATGGGACAGAGGTAGGGACTTACTCGTAGGTAGGTTGGCTTCAGCTCTGATGGCTCGGGCATTTAGCCGGTGTGCTGGAGATTGTCTCCAAAACAACGCCTTTTGGGAGGCAACGAAAGGTTAACAACTTTGCACCCCACTTTTGGCGCCATTTGTCACAAATACAGGATTCAGTCTGTGTCTACATTGCTTCCAGCCTCCACCCGACTTGGATTGTGACCGCACACCATGTCCGTGATTATTGTTATTGTCTTGAAGCCTGTTTTGCTTTTCAGTATGGCGAAAGGTGTATACTGTGTCATGTGCACGGAGAGGTAGAATGTTGTGTCATGCAGTTGGGCGCAAACCGGATATTGGTGCTTCTTCGAGTTTTGCTCGAACGTTTTACTGTCGAGACCGGTTATAACGAAGTTAGTGGGATTCAGAAATCGCTTCGCTATATCCGCTTCTTCGTTATATCAGCTCGTACGAATAACATGAAAAAAAAAAGATAATACGGGGTGTCATGGGCATATGTTTATCGAGCTTGCAGAAAGCGGTCGAGGCTTCCCTGCACGCGTCCTCTGTGGAGGACGTCGGCAGTGGACAGCATTCGCAACATTTATGTGCACTCCGTCGAGGATGGCACGCTTTTGATCAAGGAGATTGCCTTTGTCTTCCCCGTCGAGGTGTTGGTGGTGCCGGGACATCTCCATCGTTGAGTGGCGATGATTTGCCGAATCAATGCTTGAGCAAAGTAGACTTTCATGCAAGAGTGACCTCACCGACCAAACGTCGACACGGATCACGAAGCAAACAAAAAAGCGTGCGTGGCACGAAGTTCGCGCTCAAGCTTGTTGGTCGTCGGTCGGTATAGACCATTCCATTTAGTGCTCTCTGGGCGGCACCATTTTGTTCGACAGCAGCGCCCACTCCATACATCCGAGAAATTCAGCGGGTTCGGCGGGGTAAAACGAGAGAGAGGGCACGCGCCCGACTCTGCTAGCAGACGACAAACCGGGAGCTTGCCATTCTTCATCTTTGGGCTGTACCGGCGGGCTGTACGGAACCTTGAACTCTCGCTCGTGGCTGCTGTTGTGAAGTGGTTCGCATTCTTAAAATAGTTATGGCTACTCCACAATCAACCTATAACTCTCTGTTCTATTTCGGTAAATGATCAACTAGCATATCTTTTTTCCGCTACTTAAATAGCAGTTGAGTCAGCCGGCAGTACTACCCTCAACTACTGCGTGTATTGCGGCTGGAGAGCACGTTTTTATTTATTATCTCAGACTTCCACTCATGGTTGCTTAAGGCCTACACCAGTATAAACTTTGTTTAGTAAAAAAGGTACAGCAACCGGATTTACTTTTCACCGGAGAGACCGGCCAATCTGACAAAGTTTGCCCTTTCTTTTTTTTTCCCACGCAGGTAACAGCACAGTCGGGCCCTGTTAGTTTTTTTATCTAGCATAGTATTACACGATAACTGGCATAACAGAATCTGCGCTTGAAATTTCCAAAATGACACGATTTTAAACAGAGTTTGTAAGCCAGCCGGATGCTAGGTACAGCTTACTCAAAGGAGCAGACGACATACGGGTGAGAGGGGGAGGGCATTTTTTCTCTCTATTACCCTCTCTGCTATGACCCTAATGGAACGGTCTATAGAGAGCCTATATTTAATAGATGAAGCAACTGCTTGATTGTGGTCACGTGGTTTGTGGGCCGCGTTTGCAAAACGAGCTGCAGCATGCAAGGAGTCAAACTCAAAAGCATTCACCTTCTGCAAATGTATCCGCCTCTCTGCCAAGTTTAATCGCCACTCTGGCCACGTGACAATCAAATGCAGGTGTACTTACTGCTCCCTCTCTTAAACCTAGTCTCTCTCCATCATCTCCGCCGGAACGTTGTGGTTAGCGTTCCGAACGCCCCTATCGGCATGCCACGACGGCTTCTCTGCGTGCAATGTGGTAAAGCCGCTTCCAGATAAGGAGCAAGGAGCAGACGACGTTGCAGAGACTGCCGCCGGCGGCCTTTCCAGCATCTTCTGCAACCTGTTCCGGGTGGCTTCTTGGCCGCAGCAGCAAAGTGTGGCAATCCAAGACTTAGTAAACTTTCCGAATTTTTTTTTCTTTTTAATTATCACAAAATTTCTCTTCGCTATATCCGCAGGAGCCGCTCAATTTTCTTTGCTAAAAACAGACACTTGAAGAAGTGCAAACGGGAAGGAGATATTGTGATCGCTTCGCTGTAGCCGCTATTTCATTATAACTGACTTTGTTATAACCGGTCTCAACAGTATTAATAAATACATATCTTTACCTTTACCCCCTTAGTTGTTACCCCAGAAGCCATGGTCTTTTGGCTGGACAGGCCAGTGCTTCAATCTTAACCCCTTAACTGGGGATCATGTCTTTAGACGCGTAGAAATTTTGACTGCAGCCTGGGCCGCGTCTGTCGACGCACCACTTTTCAGTTGGTCTTGGGGAGCGCAACACGCCATTTAATCGCATGAAAGGAAGCATCATTTATCTCCAAACATTGGAAATAATTTTGCTTTAGAGACCAATGCACAGATGGCAGCACAACAAAAGTTTGATATTTGAGTTTGACGAGATACGCCTGGTACCAAAAAAATATTAGCAAGTTTCTTGGTCATGGAAGTCCCCAGTTAAGAGGTTAGCATAGCGTTTGAAGTGTAACAAGTGAAAAGAAAGTACAGTGTGTCCCCCCCAAAAATGTAGTGTTTTTTTTTCAACGCAAATATCAAGTATGCTTCGCAGAGTGCTCAATCTCTGCCCAAATATTGCGCTGGCCGTCCAAACTAGATGCCGGAGTTTCAGAGCTAATGGTCGTCCTATTTAAAAGTTACTAAGTGATCGTACGAAACCTTTAATGTGAAAGTGGGACACATTCCCGGTAGTAGACACCATTAATTCCCATGTGTGCAAGGGCTTTGCCGGCCACCAATTTCCTATTAAATTTCTGGAAATCGTTGGTGACTTTTTAATAAGATGACAGCTAGTTCTGAAACTTTGGTGTCTGGTCTGGACCACTGGCACCACATTTGGGCATAGGCTGAGCTTTTGGCTATGCATAATTTGTTTTTACAGTGAAAGAAACACTAATTTTTGTTTTTTCTGGGACACTTTGTTTGTGATCATGCTCCAAAAAATCTTTGTGTTGCTCCAAGGTGGACTTCAGGCTGTTTCAAAATGTGCCCCAAAATGTTTCGGACCAATCGCATCACTACTATAGCTAGGTTTCCATTTGAATTGGCTTAATGTGGGAAATAGGTCACCTGACTAAGGTCTGATGGCTTCTGATGAGCCTTCTGAGGCTCATTGGTTGACATTGAACCGTTTATTGAACTTCCGGGGGTCCGATTTTAGTCAAAATGAGAACAAGAGTGTTCTCTGGCTACCGATTGGACGTGGCACCACAGGTTTCTGCTGGGCACGCTTGGTCGGCCAATAAGAAAGTTTTGACTTGTTCGTTCATAGTGTTGTGGTGTCAGCTTCTCACCAACACACAAAGGGCAAGAGAGAGGTCTCATGGCCTTCGATGTACTTGTCCAGAGTTCTCCTTTATCCACCATTTGATATCAGCTTGCACACTGTACTGCAGCGGAACCGCTTAATATTTGCAAAGGAAGCACTGGTTGCCAATCACTTTCAATGCAAATTAGCAGACAATCACAATTTCAGCCTGCATCCGATTTCACTTCGCCGCAACACTTGCTTCATTGCAGACAATCAATTTTTTTTTTGTGGCCGAGTTAGCAGACGACGTACTGTGTTTTCTTTTTTGTCTGCAGACGACGCCTCCCAGCAGACAAATCTCTTTCCCCACTTGTGTCAGGAGACGAGCAGTCTGTGAACAACATTTTAGCTTTCTCTGGCAGAAGTACATTTGATCACGCTCTCGCCTTGACCAAAATTGAACCCCAGGAGTTGTTTGGTGGCAGAAGAACTGCGGAGTCACCCACGTGAAATACCGCTGTTCTCGTTTTCAGCCCCACGGGTAACGACGAGATGTGCAACTTTTACATCATGTACTACGTGGACGGAGACAGGATCCTGAACGACAAGCAGTGCTTCTCCTACGGACCCCCCATCTACTACTGGCACAGCGACCCGCTGCTGAGAGACGACCTCACTGCGAAGGTCAACGAGGACGCCAGCACCCTCGACTGATGGAGCACTCCCGTCGTCCGACCCCCCGCACGCAGTCCCCTACCGTCCCTAGACCCAAACGTTTTTGTCGGACCCCACGAGTCCACCGGTTCGTCCTCCCGAGACAACCTGAACGCTCTTCGGGCGGAGCGACTTTCGACTTTTTTCAACTGTCGGTGAAACTGTCTTTTTTTTTTTTTTGTGTAGTTTCGGACTTTTAGAAGTCGGTTGCCCCGTGTTGTAAGAATATCAAATGTAATTTTTTAATCCATCTGTTTTGAATGAGTGCCCAGAGGATGCAGACATGCCAGAGAGTGCAGTTAAGAAAGACTGGTTGTTGAGGAGTTATGGTCGCTCAAGACGTACGAAACGCAGGGCGCGACCTGTCGCAGTCACGCTTCTTGTTTTGTGATTGGTTCTTCGGCGTCCTTATTGGCCAAAGCCTAAATCTCGTTGGCTGCCGGGGAGTGATACTAGAACGCTCGAAACTCCTTCTGCCCCACGTTCCTTATGCTCTCGTGCGACTAGTGCGACGCAGTGTTAAATGGGAGCGATGCAGTTGGGTGGTCACATTCCGGTTTGAGGATTGTACGAGGCTGTAGTAAAGATCGATTCCTGCTCGGCAGTTCTTTTTCGTGCCTCCCCTCGAAAACGATGAACAAAGTTTTTTTTTTTCAAGAGCGTGTCCTCAGTCTCTCGTCTAAACTGGTCTCTCTACACCTGGCGATGTAGGGGCTTTTTAGCTGGTGAGGTTACATCACTCGCTTGTTCCGTCTATTCGGGTGCTGCCACACTGCTTTTAGAAAGAGCATGATGGTGGAAGTCGGTTTATTTTCATGTAGTTTTCCAGCCCCAAGTCGTGGAAAGAAAGATTTCTTGGTGAAGTGCGCAAGCCACCGTTTACAATTGTGCGCGGGTTTCTTTTCCTGACTTCAGTTACCATGTCACTAACCTCTTTGTGAAACAGGCCATTAGGTCACATCATGTGTTTCACAGGTACTTACACTGACCAATTTTAGAATTTAGCTATTCTTGTTTTTGGTATGATGCTCGAATGGAGAGGATCAAATGTAAACTGTGTTCAAGTATACATACTACTACAATAAGGTAATCAGTTGGCAAGCTTTTTTTAAATTTATTTATGCTTGACCACTCCTGCTTGGTGTTGTACCGTGTCTACAGTTTTGAAGGGAGTTTGTTACAAAGTTTTCCCCTTTCCATGATCGGAAAGTACTCCAATGATTTTTGATAATCAAAACACTAGAACACAAACATATATCTGTATCATATGGGACATTCACCAATGCTGTACTATGCTGTACTTTAGAAAAAAAAAAAGAAATAACTTTTTTTTTTTAATTGTTGGTGATACTTTGTTTTAACTGGAACAATGTGCAGAAGCGGTGCATTCTCACCTTTTTAAAAGGGAGAAAGACTAAGGGTTTTCTTTGTTTTGTTTATTTACAGCTAAACATTCCACACTAGTCAACAGATATATTTTAAGTCTCTTTTTAGTATCTGAGATGGGAGTGTAAATTTTTCGTTTGATCTTTTTGAAGTTTCTATTTATTGTTTTACAGAAATATGACTACCAATTGGGGTTATGGTTTTCACACGAAAGATGTTTGTGCCGGCTTGTAATGGCACAAACCTTCCCCACATTTGTTTCCCTAGTGGGCACTTAGTAATCAAACTGCATATCAAGGGTGCGGTGATGTGATGCTATATATTTATATTGGTGCAACATTGTTAAGACATAGGCAGACAGATAACAGATTTATCTACTTTTCATTACAACTTTAATTGTATGTAAATGTCTGAAAGGTCTGAAATGAGAACAGGATATGGTGTACTGCACCTGCATCCCTGACCTGCAGTTGCTGCAAAGGATAATCACCTACCACAGTAAATATATTTGTGTTAAGGCGGACAATCGTGTCCTTGTCTATGGACCGTGTTATCGAATCAAGCTATAGTGTGGATCAAATTTGAAATACATAATATACAGAAGAAATTTTGATGTACACTTTTTAGTGTGTCAAATAAAATGTTGGGGTGGATCTGGACAACTCTCAGTGCTGATATCACTGTTTGATCATACATAGATTCCTATCTTATTACTTTAGGTATTGAAAGTGATTCTGATAGGTATCAATTAAACCACGTGGAATAGCAAGTGTTTATATCATGGGCATCATCCATATCACTTTTGGAGCTTGGAGCCCCCAAAATGATACATTGGATCTTGGTTGCAAGCCAAGTCTCGTTTGTTGTCTTTTTTAGATCAGAGTCCTTTTTAGTACAATGTACGTTTTATCCACACAGTATCTGGATTAGATTAATCGAGAAGTAAACGTTTTTCTTATTAAAGGGACACTAACATGCACCCAAAAAGTTTTTTCATGCGAAATCATTAAATGTCTCACTAAGTGAAGCCGGCGAAAAACGGCACCTAAATTTCCATTGGCTGAGCGAAATGGCACCTAAATTCCCTTTGGCCCATTCCCAATAAAACCGAAAAGCACAGCAACGCAGATGCCTCTTCACGGAAGCCGCCGTGAAGCCGGCAGGATTCGCCGCGCCTGCACAGTGGCAGAGCATGATGTCACCGCTAGAACACCGTGTGGGACAGGAAGACCTGGCGCGCTGCACGTAGGAATGCTTTCGCATTCCTACATGTAAGCAGTCTTAATTAAATGTCTGCCGAATTTTATTTATTTATTACCGGGCGATCCATCATGCTGTCAGATGACTATCCAATCAATATTTTGCTAATGTCGCGTATATATTAATAAAGTAAAAAAAGAAAACTGTTGGAAACCGAAACTGGATTGAGGAGGAAGAGTAAATATCGAGGAAGAGAAAGATACCAAAATTCACGTGGCTGTGCCCCTTTTTTTTCTCACTCAATATGTTTGCAGTTTTTTAGAAGCCAGAAAAAATGGGTACCATATCTTTTGTCCATTTCTAGTATTAAGTGTGTGCCTTCGATGACCCACGACTTTGATTATATTTGGTGGTCATGTCTAAACCATAGAAAACGGCACGTGACCATGGAGGAGAGAGTGAGCGCGACTCAAACCGGTCAGTTCTCGATCGGCGGTTTTCGGGTGGAAAGAAAACGAATTTATGCGAAACTTGTTGGTGGTCTGGCATCACTGTGCACGTGGCCATCTTGGTAGCGTCAAGTATCTTGGGTTTCGGTTTCTCAGCATTTCCAGAACATGGGCGCTCTGCCACTAAGTTCGATTCGAAAACTTTATTGTTCTCTGACTTCCGATCACCGAACGCGGACGAAGGACTAGGCCGTCATGCTTTTCATCTTTGAGAACACTTTTAATTCTTTTTTAGATACAAATACGCATGAAGTCGTACTGTTCAGCGGTATACCGCTTCATGCCAATATTAGAGACTCAAGGTTATATATATTTTTTTTGTTACTGGCGAAACTTTTTGTTGGTGGAAAGCTCTTTGTTCAGAAAACTGTGCCCTGGGCAATATTTTTTAGGCGTTGCGAAGAGTTCACATTGGTTTCAGATAGCATTGACCTCAATTGCAAGCACAGGTGACGGATGTTGTGCTATTAATGAAGATTTGTTCAACCCTCGCAGAATAACTGCATTGACTTCCTCAAAATTATCCACCGAGCTTCTTTGCACCAAGCAAAAAATTTACCTCGGCTGCGACAAAAAAAAAAAAAAAAAAAAAAAAAAAAAGGTTGTGAAATGAAGTTGGCACCGTCCGTGTTGCTCCATTCGACGTCCGTAACGCAAGTTTTCGCCGCCGCCGACATCGAAGTTTTAGCCACTGCGATGAACCTTTTCTGTATGTCTCTTTTTTAAAAAAAAAATAATATACTATGTCGCCACTAGTTCATTTTCATTCATTTTTTTTTTTCACTTCAAAGGCCTAGTTAGGGCATTGCATAAGGGGGGGAAGGGGCAGTTTCATACCACAAAAAAAAAAACAAAAAAAAACGCACTCATGTAGAATAATAAAAAAAAGTAAGAAATATAGTAAACTTTCTTCAAACATATAAAACAGCAAAATAGCTGCGTTTGATAGCACAGGAGTTATTGAGGCGAGATGATATTCTTTCTGGGGGGAGTGAGTCCTCGAGGTCTGAGCAGTGATAATAAATTTTGTGGAGGAGGCAGAGTGAAAGCATTTTCGTTTTGTTAAGGTATTTGTGTTTGTTTTACTTTAGCATTCCCCTCTTGTGTTGTAGTTACAGTTTTGGTTTGACGGATAGAACGACCTATCGCCAGTGACACCATGTCGTGGTGTCACTAGCGATGGGAGGAATATAGGAGGCATATGAACAACTAGACCAGAAAAAATTTAGTGTGGCCGGATCTGTTGAAACACATTTTAGAGATGTGGAGCAGCCCTCAATTAACCCTGTGTGTGGGAGGTGTGTAATAGAACAGAAGGACAAAGAAAAGGTGATGAAATCAGAGTCTCTGTGAGAAAATCGAACGATTGAGAGAATAAGTGATGACGGCACAGAGCATATTTGGTCCCATGGCAACATAGCGAGAGAACATGTTGACCGGGGTTCCAGGACCGACTGCATATTTCTTGATTTCTCAAAAGCTTTCGACAAGGTTCCTCACGCGCTGTAAAATCCGTAAACTTAACATATATCTTATTATAATCGCTTGGATGGAATCGTTTCTATCAGACCGTTACCAATTTGTTCACGCTCATGGAACTGATTTTTCAACCTCACGTGCCAAGTCTAATGTCCCGCACGGTTCCGTATTAGGTCCACTTTTATTTCAAATATATATTGTGACGGAAGAAGAAGAAGTGATGTTCGGATTCGAAGGATAGAAGAGAACAGCAGGGGCGAGATACGCTGAGAATAAAGCGTAACAACTGGTGTCAGAAGTGGAGCTCCGTTCGGGACACCGTCTTCCGGCACGCATGGACCCTCCTCGACAACCTGCGGATGGGCTTCCGCAACCTGGAGGAGGAGCCATCCCGCCCCGATCAGTTCCTGATCCCGTTAACCCTAACAGTCAAGCCGATGCCTCGACCGCCATTGCAGCTCTGCTGGATGTCCACCACCAGCGGGCTGCCCAAGAGCTCAGGCAACGCGATGCGGCTCTCCTGGAGGCCATTTCAAGTTCCTTCGAGAGAACATCAGTCGCAATCGTCGAAAGCTTTCGAGCGCTAGCACAACCAAGCTCTCTACCAACCGGTGAAAATGAGCTTCCACCCACGACTCAACCGACCATCGACCCGTCTGCCACGTATCTCAAGCTACGGGCGCCACAATTTGACGGCGCCGGCACCTGGTCCGCCTACGGGACACAATTTCAGATCCTTGCTGCCGCCAATCGATGGACCAACGAGCAAAAGGCACAGGTACTTGCAGTAAATCTCAGAGGTCCAGCATTACAGGTCCTTCACCACATGTCGCCAGAATCTCGTACGTCGTACACCTCTCTATTCCAAGCGTTGGAGCAACGCTTCGGTGATGGGCATCAACGGTACCTACACCACACCCAACTGCGGCACCGGCGACAAAATTCGAGTGAGACGTTGTCTCAGCTCGCTGACGACATCGAGCGTCTTACACGCTTATCGTTCGTGGGTTCGCCTGAAGAGACTGTAGATGCCGTTGGCACTGCGGCTTTTATTGATGCAATTGCGTCAATTGAGATTCAAGATGCAGTCCGCCTTTTTCGTCCTCAAACACTTCGAGCCGCCCGCATTTATGCGCTAGAAGTGGAGGCCGCCCGTAATGCATCACGATTGGCTACGAGGCTTCCACCTGCAGCACCCGCCTCAATCCTACCAAAGATGATCTGCTGGAACTGCCGACAAGAAGGACACAGCAAGATGCGATGTCCCCTTACACCCCCAGATGCCCGACCAACGGGTGCTCAAAGAGCGTCACGAAAAAAAATTACTTCTACTTGCTCGGTAGCTTCACCCTCATCCATCTACCTCCAAGGTACAATGAATGCCGTCCCTGTGCGGGCATTGATATAGACACCGGAGCGACAAACTCAGTCGTCCGACCCACAGTCTTCGACCGGTTACATCTCTCAGCCATGCCTGTGGGACCTGATTCCAGTCTTCAAACTGCAACTGGCGCTACCCTTGCAGTTTTGGGACAAGCCAATGTTCCCTTCCAAGTTCGTGGCCTGCAGACGACACTACCTGTGGTCATAGCAGAAGTAACTGAGGATTGCATACTGGGAATGGATTTCTTAAAGACCCACAAATGCGTGCTCGACTTTGCTCAAGGGACCCTTCACGTTGGGGCACAGGCATTTCATCTCGGCTCGGCGACTGTATCAGTGTGCTATGCGAATGGGCTGCCATTAAACTCGCTAACACCGTGTTCTCTTGGTCTCAAAACTTACCTTATACCTCTCTATACTGCCACTGTTCCTCGCCTTCAAGAGAATGACGCTGTTCAACTGCAGAATTTACTTTCACGTTTTTCGGCTGTGTTCAGCAGTAGCGACACTGACTTGGGAAATACCAATTTGGCTACGCACCGCATCATAACCGGTGATGCAGACCCCATTCGGCAAGCGCCTCGCAGACTACCACTGGCGAAGCGTTCACATGTGAATGACCTCGTTGAACAAATGCCCAGACAAGGTGTCATTGAGCCAGCCTATGGACCCTGGTCCTCGCCGATCACCCTTGTAAAAAAAAGGATGGATCAACTCGATTTTGCGTCGATTATAGGAAGTTAAATGACATCACAAAGAAAGATTCTTTTCCACTACCACGGACAGATGATATCCTAGACGCGCTCGCGGGATCTGCTTGGTTCTCCACCCTTGATCTCAAGAGCGGCTACTGGCAAGTTCCCGTACATTCATCAGACCGCGAAAAAACAGCCTTCAACACCGGCAACGCGCTCTATCAATTCACAGTCATGCCCTTTGGGCTATGCAACGCTCCCGCAACATTCCAACGTCTAATGGAAAAAGTCATATAGGGACTAACCTGGTCCGCTTGCCTTGTGTATTTAGACGACATTGTTGTCATTGGAAAGGCCTTCACCGAACACTTGACTAATCTCGAGTTG